ATCAATCCAGTCAACATTGTAGCATGGAGGGAGAAGGATCATAAGCCCCACCCTTGATTGGGAGGCTATGGACAGTTGATGGCTTCTGGAGGAAAGAGAGTCAGTTTTCTTTAAGGGTGTGGCCTCTGGTAGGTCAACCATGTTCCAGTGATAGCCCCACACCCATGAATATATGAGCAGCACAAATTGGACTCGGTGGTTTATTTTTTTTTTTTTAAAAAGACACAAAATTGGGATGGGTAGGAGGTGGGGGTAGATGTGGGATGAGTTAGGGGGAGGAGTAGGGGTGAATATGATCAAAATGCATTTTATATTAAAAATATTCATTGTCACTTCAATGGATTAATAATCACCTAGAAGACATACCTCTCAGCATGTCTGTGAGGGCATTTCCAAGTTTCACTGAAGAGGAAAGACCTACCTTGAATATGATCTGCACAACTCCATGAGTTGAGGTATTGGACTGAATAAAAAGGGGAAACAAGAGGGAATCAGCTGAGGACCAGCCTTCATCTCTCTTTACTTCCTGATTGTGCATGTTACTGTCACTAGCGACCTCATGCTCCTGCAGCCATACCTTCTCTCCATGATGGACTTTGAAGGTATCATCAAACTCTGAGCCAACATAAACCTTTCCTTTAATTGTTTTTGTCAGGCATTTTGTCATAGTAAAAAGAAGAGTAATCAATACAAGTTGTCACAAGGTAAAAGGAATTCTTAAAATACCAGGTCACAAAGGAGTTAAGACATATGTTTTGACTATAAACAATTTTTTTTATCTTGTTTACAGATTTTCAAGAAGGGTTATAGGTGGGGAAGGAGTGAGGTTAAATCTAAAGGTCTTACATGCTTTAGCTTTAAGCATAGTTTATTATTACTTTCTTAGTTTAAATAGCTCTATAAAAAAAAAAAGAAGAGACTATTAGTGCCAAACGTGATGGCATGCACCTTTAATCCTATCTCTTAAGAGGCAGAGGCAGGAAGATCTCTGTGAGATTCAGGCCAGTCTTGTCTGCATAGTGAGTTCTAGGCCAGCTGGGGCTACAGGGAGACCCTGTCTCAAAAAACCAAAAATCAAACAAACAAAAGGAATATTATTATCACTAAGTAGGCAATCTTCATGGCAAAGTTGCACCAAAATTCTTGATTCTCAGCTGGTGAGAAACTTGAACTCAACTCTAGAATGAAAGAATCCTTTCCCTTTTCCTGCCCTCTTGATGTTCCCTGTCTTTCTCTCCTGCTTCACTTTGGAGGCTAACCTCCTTCTTTCCTCTCATGTCTACTCTGAAGATGCTTATTATGCCCAATTTTGAGGAACACTGGCTACCCCCTGCCAGAGCCTACTGAATTTAACTTACTGCACTTGGCACAAGTGCTAAAACAGGCAGGAAGACTCACAGGTGATATAGGGACCTAGATGTAATATAAGCGTTTGGGTTGATAGGGCCAGCCTGGTCTACATAGTAGCTTCCAGGCCAACAGGGGCGACAGCTGCAGCCCATGATTTCCATAAATGGTAGAGTCCCCAAAACCCAAACTAAATGTCATGAAATTATGCAACAGAGTTAGATATTAGAGCTAAAAATATTAAGTTTTTATCTCATTGTTTTTTAATAGCTCTATTAAAAAAGAATTCACATAGCACACAAGATACTTAAAGTGTACAGAGTAATGTTTTTTGGTATATTTACAGAATTATACATTCATATTCTCCATTGTAAAACATATTTTAATGGTATTCATTCTAGTGTTGTAGACATATTCTTTACTTTTTCTTCCTAGCTGGATAGTTAATCAAGTAACATAAGAAAGTATCCAGTTGGTGACTGGGGTCGTGGTATCACCATAGGAAAGGGGTTTCATTTCAGTTCTTTAGTTATGGTTCTAAGTTCCTATTTCAGCACATGGAAAGAAGTTGAGGGCTGCTGCTGTGGAGGGCACAGCATTGGGCCATGTGTGAAAAGCCAGGCTGGACCTGCACGTAGTGATAGAGTATCCTGAGGGCTCAGGGCACCTGATCACATTGTAGGACTGTAGAACAGTTTCATAGAATTAGAGGCTGTTGTGGGACATGCTGGAGCATAAGGATATAAGTAAACACGAAGAAGGTATTTAAAAAGTGGCCATTCCATGTGAAGCTTTAAACAAAATGAAGTGTACATGAAGAAGCCACTTGGGAACCTATGATCTTGCAATCCAAGTAAAACAATATAAAAAGAGGGAAAAGTATGACATGTGTGATATGAAAGAACAGGGGAAGAATACTGGGAGCTAAAGGTTTAAGATGGGATGGGGACATAAAATTGTGGAAAGGAGGAGAAAGGGGTTGGTTAACCCAAACTAAGGATATCTGAAGAAGCCTATGAAACCCCACTAGTTCATAAGCTAATTTAAAAAATATTTTTAAAAGGCACTTGAAGAGAAGTACCCCACATTAGCAAACCATACTGCTCCCAGAAGATACGTGTTATTAAATGAAAATCTCAGTGTCAAGAATGGGTTACCTCCTTACAAATTATTGATCAGATAGACTGCCATTGCTTTTGAATGCCCACCATAACTAGACAGTAAGACCCTATTGCTGAAGACACCAAACACTTTTGTTTTAGGACACAGAGAAACCAGTCTTCAACTGACCAGGAAACTCTCTCTGTTGGCTAGCCTTCATAGAGCTGGAAGGTGCTATGTAGGCTGCTGGGGGAGAAAAGACATCAATGATCTTATCCAGCTCTGGACCCTGCATACTATAATATCAACCTGCCAAGCAGGATGTGCCACTAGTGTAATAGTGGAAATACTGTCTATGCAATAACCAGCTGCTCTCTTGATTGGACTTGAAGCCTGCTCCACAGGAAGGAATTCATGCCTGATACTGAAAACACAGTAAAAACCGATGGCTAAAGAAATTGTAGGCCCTAGGGGTGAACTTATTGATGTTGTTTTTCTAAAAGTTCATTGTCAAACTGCCTTCTAAATATTCATGTTTATATCTGTAGATTTGTCTTCTCCCAACTTTGGTCAGAGAAGCTCTTTAGTGTAGTGGGTGATGGTTAATGCAAGGATGCATTACTGTTCAAAGTGCTGGAAATAAGTGACCGTGAGTCTTCGGCCATAGATGGGACAACTATATAGCACCTCAGAATTGTTAAGATGAATGAGTTACTGCATATCAACGCTTATAAAGCTCAATGTGACAAATTCCCAATGAGAGCTGTATCATATTTGGGATCGTTTTTTGGGGCTATGGAGTAGATGGATAATATTATTTGGATAAAGAGAATAAATGGAAGGAGGTGAAGATGTTGAAGAATCAAAGAAGAAAAGATCGGAGGCTCTTACTGGTAGTAGAGGCCGTGAGCTCCAAGGTCACTGTCCTTCCCCAGGTCTTTCAGTGGGCTCAGTGTTCCTTGGTGCAAAAGAAAGGCTTGTGTGGGGAAGAAGAGACAGAGGAGTGGAAGACAAAAAGAGAACTGAGGAAAAGAGGGACCCAGAGCAAGGGCAGTGAGTTCAGGAATTCTAGAAAGTGATGTGACTTGGGTGGAACACATACAGAGTGGAGTCCAAAATCACAGAAATCTACCCTAGCAACCAAAAAGCAACTTTAGAAAGCAATTTACTTTCTTTTCTTTTTTTAAAGATCTGTTTTATTTTTGTTTGTCTGTCTGTCTGTCTGTCTCTGTCTCTCTGTCTCTCTCTGTGAGTGTGTGTGTCTGCGTGTCTGTGTCTGTGTGTCTGTGTGTTTGTCTGTGTCTGTGTTTGCAGATGTCTGTGGAGGTCAGAAGACAGAATCAGTCCTGGAGCTGGAGTTGCAGGCCATGTGAACTGCCTCCACTGGGAACCCAATTCCTGTCCTCTGAAAGAACAGCAAGTGCTCTTAAAACCTCTGAGCCATCTCTCCAGCCTCTACTTGCTTTTCTTATACTCTTGGGACAGCTATCCATCACATGCTTTCTAAAATGGCCTTTCTTCTCTTGTTCTGGAAAAGATACCCACGCCTACCTCTTTCCCTCCTGTTACCCTCTTCCCCTCTCCTTACCAAAAACAGACAAACCAAGCTGCGGCAGACTGGACAAGCATAGAGAACAAAAGAGGCTAACTTCTCAGTAGCTAGAGGTCAGTATAGGGCATCTCAAGACCTTGTAAGCAATGTGAAACATTACCCAGAACTGTCTGGGACCAACATGGCCAACTGAGATGATTTAACTTTGTTTCATTATAATGACATTTCTGTATCATTAACTTTGCAAAATCACCTGCTGCCATCATGCATCTGATACCATGACATATCCAAGGACCCTATTAAGGACTGAAACGGGGAAACAAATTGGATTTTAGGCAAATACTGATACTTTCCCAACCTTCACTTAATAATAATCCTCTCCTCCATTAAAGTGTGCCCATAAAATGCTCTCCCAGCTCCTGGGCAGCATGACTTTCTTGAGAAGCCCACATGCCCTCCTTTTCCTTTTCTATTAGTGTGTATTAATTGTACAGCATAATGGGTGCTGTGCTCCCTCTTGACTCTGTATGTTTTCTGTGAAATAAAACTTCCCCCCTATTCCTTTCTTTTTCTCTTTTCTGAATTCTTTCTCTGATGGTGACAAGAACCTGGAAACACTGGTTTCAATCTGTCTCTCTATCTCTCTGTAAGACCTCCCCAGTCTTCACAAACAACAAAAATAACTATAGAGCGTCCTACAATAGAACTTCTCCTCTCTTTCCTTCCAATTAGGAATCAAAAAAGCCCAGCAAGAAGATGGAAAAGCAAACCCAGACTCCTCTTGGGAGAGAGGAAAACCCAGGAATCTTTAGGAAATTTCCTCTCACAAGAGGTTTGTTGTTTTCAGTTGCAAGGCATAGTTTAAAATAAAAAAAAGAAGAAAGAAAACACCGATGTCAAGTTCTCCTCAGAAATGACCCTGATATCTCAAGTGAATAATAGCCTGTCCCCCCTTTATGGCCTTCTGTCTTCTAAGCCTGGAAGGGACTCCCAGCCCTACCTGTCTATGCTGATGGCACAGAGGTTCAGGATGCTGGCTGTACACATCATTACATCCAGGGTGACAAAAACATCACAGCAAATGCGGCTGAAATTCCAGACTCCACCTGTCACCTGGGCATTAGAGACAAGAAAGATGTTAGTGTTTTCCTCAGGGAAGGAACCACAACCCAATCAATTCTCCAGCCTTCTCTAAGCTGCTCAGCTAGCTGTGGACACACTCTTCTGGCTCCCTGTGATAGGTGCCATTAGTACCAGAGGGAAGACAGGCACAGAGGGAGTACCAGGCTGTCTGAGAGTGATTGCTAAGGAAGGGATAGAATGTTAGAGTGTTAGTGCTGGGAAATATCTTCCAAATTAATTAGTGCAGCATTTCCCAGAGTGGTTCACAGTGGGATACTCATTAAACATGTAGATTTCTGAATCTTCCATAGTCCTAATGAGTCAAGAGTTCCTGGATCTGGGGCTCATGAACCTTCATCTTAAACACTCTAGATATACCAAGGTTTGAGAATGAAAACTTGGGGTTCAGTCTCAGGAGTGCTCCTTGTGGTTAAGTGATAAACACATAGATGGATCTCAGATGCACAGCTGGTAGTAAAAGAGCTTGGGCAACCACCCAATGTGTGCCTTGTGCCAAAACTGCCTCTCTGAAGCCCTCTGCCCAGTGGAGAGCTCACCATGTGCTCAGGAAATAAGCTAAGAACACGTTTTCTGTAAAATATGACTCTAAAGCAAAAACCCCTCTTGCTTCAGGTTTTAAAGCTTAGAAACATCCTGAAACAACATCTATATGAACATAAATAAAACAAGTCTAACCAGTGTGACTTCCTTTGACCCCTTACCTCCATATTGCACTCTCTGAAGACATGGGGAAAAGTTGGGCTCAGAAGATCAGAGGAGAGCAGGCTTTCAGCCTGTGCACATGGATCTAACCTCTACAGGCTCCTGTGAGTGACACTTAGAAAGTGTTGAGAGCATATTTCTAATTTTTAATATTTTTTTCTATTTTTAATATTATTTATTTATTTCATGTGTATGAGTATATTGCCTGCATGCATGTAAGTACATCTGTGTCATGTGAGTCCATGGAGGTCAGAAGAGGACATCGGATCCCCTGAAACTGGAGTTATGAACAGTTGTTAGTCTCCGTGTGGGTGTTGGGAATCGGACCTGGGTCCTCTGCAAGAACAGCCTGTGCTCTTAACTACTAAGCCATCTTTCCAGCCCCATATTTCTATTTTACGGGACGATGTGTTGCGATAGTGTTACTTTCTGAATGTCCACACACTGTCACTTTTGGGACCTGAAGCTTTGTATATTTGCTAGCGTCCTGCCTGTGGACTGTCATTCTGGGGAATTCTGATTCTCAAAGAGAGTTTGTGCTTCTGGCTGTAGCTGCGTGTTCCTCATGGCTCTTCTGGGTAGACTTAATGGCTATTTAAGAGAAAGAAGAGTAACAAATAGGCACAGTAGCTTCTAAGTTTGCTTCTCATAAAAGGCCAGCTGTTCTGTTGGTGCAGTAGTGGCACCTTTATTTTGGAGGCAATCAACAGCTATCTAATTGGACTTAAAGCCCACTCAATGGGAGGGAACTCATGTGTGGCAATGTAAACATAGCCAAATACACATGGCTGTAGAGGTCATAGACCCTAGAGAAAACCTTACATCTGTTATATCCCTAGACAAATGTAATTTCTGACTGTATGCTAAATATGGATCTTTATATTTACAGACAAATAAACCTGTCACCACTCATCAAAGAAGCTTCTTTTTGCAACAGATGGAGACTATTATGGAGTTCTACAACTGGTCACACACAGAGAATAAGTGTCTGTGAGATGCCCAACCCTAAGTGATGTCGGACGCTCTGACAGGTACGGCACAGGGGGAGAGGCCAGGACCAGCCTGGGTCCCTCTCTTAGGGGCTGAGTGGGATGGTGAGTGTTGGCGACTCAAAAACCACACCGAGTCGGGAGTCTTGTTGAGGCAGGAACTCGCTTTATTGCATCAGGCATCAACTTATATAGTTTAAGCAAAAGGGGTGTGGAAAAGGGGGTGGGTATAGGAATGTGTTATCTGGGGCAAAGACCGTGGGCCACTGGGAATTTATTACATCAGTTGTTACTGGGCAGAGGCAGTCTTAGATAGGGCACTGCTGAATCACCTCCACACGGAAGTGACGGGCCAGAGACAGGTCACTAAACTTTAGTCAGGCTCAGGAAGTTACATTAGGCCTCATTTTTCTCCATGTCGTGTATATGAGGGTCCTGAAGGCCCAACAAAGTGACACATCTACAATGGAACTTCTATATTTAAGGTTCATGGAACACAGTGGAACAGGGGTTATAGAGAATATTAATGCATCTCTCAACTCTCACAGCAAAACTTCCTCATGCAACAGAGGGAAATTAACAAAGAAGGCTACAACTGGCCAAAGTGTAGAGAATAAGAGACTGCAGAGTGTATGTCCCTGAATAGGACTCCTATATTAAACCTTACCCACCCCAGGCTCACGGACAATTTCGGAAGAGAGGGTGGAAAGATTGTAAGAGCCAGGTGTGGTGCATAAGGAAACGGTTTTTCCAAGCTTTTGGAAACTTGCTCATGTGAACTTACAGCAATAGTGACAACATGTATAAGACCCATGCAGACTCAACCCAGACAAAAACCCAGCGAACTGGGGAAATGGGCAAGAAACCCCCAACTTTAGCTGAGGAACTATTAGCAAATGATCACTCACTATTGGTTGAGGGAGAGTTTGTCTTCTTTAAGGGAGTATTGCTAGATAGGCTGACCAGGCTCTAGTGGATGAACTCACACTGAGGGATAGCTGGGAACACCAACTTGACTGGATAGGCCTTAACATATATGACAGCATGCTTGAAATCTGGTGGGGGGCTATGAGGGTGCAGTTAGTGGAGGGGAGGTCTAAATATAATTAAGATATATTATATGAAATGCACAAAAATTCAGTAAAAATATATATATATTGAAAAAAATGCTAGATGTTGGCCAGTATGCATGAAGGAGGTGCTGTTCTCCATCCAGTCCTCATTCAAGACTCTTTTGATCCTGGCATCCCTGTTACTTCTGTTTCATGCTAATAAAGCAAGACTTGAAAGAGTCTATCCTTCTCCTCCAATGACCAATGACTACCCCTTGGGTTTATTTCCTTTTCAGCCCCCCCCCCATTTGATCTTTATATTTAATCATCTTCAGGTTATTTTGAGACATGTTGACCAAAGATGTTTTATTTAAAAAACAGCCGTGAAAAGTTAAAACAAATAATGAAATCATTTTTGTTCACTTGGTTGTAGATTTACTTTCTTTTAGTTTGATTTGACTGTATATAAAGGCCTAATATAAATTTATAGGAATGCTGAAAGTGAACATCTTTTTAGAAAGGGGGTTGTATGGATTCTTATCTACCGAGTCAGCACAGTGATTTATGGGAGACAGGAGAGTGAAGGATGATTTTGATCATTACATAAGAAATAGAATGCTATGAAAACTTCCCCAAATTGAATTTTGAATACTTAATTTCATTCAGTAAAGATCTACTATGCAACTGAAGTTTTAAGTTGGGGGAAAGCTACTTTTTTTCTCATATGACCATGAGTCAAGGAGCATGTGTGTGTGTGTGTGTGTGTGTGTGTGTGTGTGTGTGTGTGTGTGTGTATGCATGCATGCTGTCAGAAGCTTAAGTCAGAGAGGATAGTTAGGACAACAGTCAACCCAAGTGCCTGTTGGTTACTCATTCAATCATTCATTCATATATTCACAAAACAAGTACTTGTGAAACTTAGTCCAGAGAAGGAAGGCATAATGTATTTATTAAGAGGTTTTGCAAAATGGGCTAGAGAGATGGCTCAGCAGTTAAGAGCACTTGCTGCTCCTGCAGAGGAACTGGGTTCAGTTCCCAGAATCCACATGGTGACTAATAACTGTAACTCCAGTTCCAGGGCATCTGATGCCTTTTTCTGATCTCTGTGGGCATTGCCAGCATGGATGCACTTACATGCAGGCAAAACACTCAAACACATAAAATTAAATAAACATAAAATGTAATAAAGTACAGTACATTTGAAGACATACTGGAGAAACAAGGTCTCCTCTTCCTCCTCCTCCTCCTCCTCCTCCTCTTCCTTCTATGTTCGCATGTGTGATGTATGTGAGTGTGCGTGCCATGGCATGTTTGTGGAGTTCAGAAGAAAACTTGTAGCTGATGTTCTTCTTCCACCTTTATGTAGGTTCAGGGGATCTGACTTGAGCTTTCAGTTTTGTGTGGTAAACACCTTTACCTATTGAGTCATTTCTCCAAGCCTGTACAGGCATTCTTTTTTTTTTTTATTTAATTTAATTTAATTTTTAAATTTTGAGTCACTATGTAGCCATGGCTGGCCTGGAACTCATTATGTAGGCTAGTCTCAAACTCATAGAGATCCTGCCTCTGCTTCTTTAGTGCTGGGATTAAAGGCCTGCTGCACTGAGCCAGCCCTGTACAAGGTATTTTTGAATATGCTAACTAGAGAGCAACATGAATGCCTAATATTGTTAATACAAACTAATTTTGAAACTTCAGGATTTGAAAACTGAATTTGGCCTGGTGTGGTGGCACACTCTTTAATCCCAGTACTCGGGAGGCAGAGGCAGGCGGATCTCTGTGAGTTCAAAGCCAATTCAAAGCCAGTCTGGTCTACATAGTGAGTTCCAGGCCAGCTGGGGGCTACAGGGAGATCCTGTCTCAAAAAGACCAAAAAAAAAAAAAAAAAGAAAAGAAAACAACTTTTTTTTTTTTTTTTTAATTGTATGTGCTGTTAAGCTTTTGAAGAGTATGTAATTTGATAGGTGATTAAATGGCTGTTACTTAACGAATTCGATAATGGCTGAGATATTCACTTGTGCACTGCTGCCCTGGGGCTCCTAGTAGGGTTAGGTGTGCAAATACCTTCGTCAAGATTGAGTGGTCTCTGACATACTAAGAGCCATTTATTGAATACTTACTAAGTACCCAGTGTCCTGCTAAGCACTTTACATATATGGTCTCTAGTGCTGGGCAAGTCCCATGGGAAAGCATGTGAAGTTAAAGGTATCTGAAGAAGTCCTATCTG